ATTATAGTCCGTAAAAAGGTTTAAATGTTTATAACCTCTGGACTGTATACTCTTTGTGCCAGTTTTCTTTTCCCCTTTTTAGTACACATTTTATTGTGTAGAACTCTGTTTGTTTCGTCTTTTTATCTTGTCTTTTGTATGTTTTAGGTTTGTGAGAATCTGTGTTCTGTCTTGTGTCAATTCTTTAGATTCTTGTGTTTATGTACTTGTGTTTCAGTGTTTCTTCCCATGTGTAATCGGCTGCAGCTCCAACCACTATCATCTGTTTCTCATTGTCCTTCCCCAGATGTTCATGATTATTCTCGTTAGTGTCTTTATAAGTTCTGTGTCAGTTTATGTCTTCCCTGTTCATGGATTGTCCTCCCAACGCTATCATGGCCTGTCTTCATCTGTGCCACCCTGCTCCTGGTTATTTCTTGTAGGTTTTGCTACCACATCAGCCTTTCTGCCTTCTTGTTAATAAATTAATTTCTTTGTTTTATCCTTGAGTCCTCCATGTCTGTCTGCACTCTGGGTTCAACTACAAAACCACAAATAATGATACGGTTTTCTTATCCTTTTACCTACCGCCAGTATACTCTGATTCTGTTACTGACTATTGATACTTGACCTTTATTTTTGCGCTAAATAAGCTATTGATTTTTAGCTTGGGCTTTAAATGCTGTCTGTGTGCATCCGTCAACTTTTGACATGAAATCAACAAAGTCGTAGAAAATGTTTGTAAATGAATTATAAAACTGCTTGTGTCTTGTTAAACATTACCCAAATTTCCCAATTCTAAAAAAAACATAACTCAAGTGACATTAGGTTCAATGCATTCTATTTGTGAGATATTGTGAGGCCTGTAATGATTTGATTTACTTCGTATATGAATCTATGCTTAGTAATTACAGTAATCAGCCTTTTTACTCCAAAGGTCATTATTATTTTGTATTCAATGACAATTTAAAAATAGTTACACCTTTACTTGTAAGTTTATTGGACCATTTAAAAAATTGTCTGCTTATTAGCTCCAAATATTTTGCCCATGCCCGAGGCTTGTTTTTTTTGAGCTGCATTAAAAGTGGAAGTCTTCCTCAAGACTCTCACTAAAGGTCTATTTATTCAGGTGGTGATGCATGCTCAATACCCAGTACATAATAAAAGGTTGAGTCAGTTCCTCTGGATGGGTAATACATCCAGAGGAACTGACTCAATTTTTTTTTATGTTATGTCATTTCTCCACACAGATCCAAGTTCTTCACTGTGTTTGCCAGTAAATGTCTCAAAGATGACTATATACTATTGACCCTACCCAGTAATTTTGACTAGAATTAATGTTAAACCAGAACCCAATAATCAGAACACTGAAAAGACTTTGATGGAAACAGGGAGAAAAAGGTAAGGGTTCTTTTTGAAATGGGAAGGGAATGATCTGGAACAGGAGGATCTGCAGAGGAGGACCAAAAGTGAAGGCTTTTCCAGTTTATTATTTATAGGTTTGTGGTTAAGAGTTTGCCCTTATTTTGTCTTGTTTGATTTCCAGTTTCCAGGTGATATGGTCATGCTGCAGTTCTGTGCTTCTGCAGGATTTCCAGACAGAGGTGAGTATGTGATAACAACAGGTAGGCAGGAAGGCTGAGTCCAGTAACTGGATTTTCTTACAGAGTTGCAGGTGAGGCAGACTTGGAGCAAATGAGAGGTTCCATGGAACATCAAGAAGTCCAGGAACACAGTGAAATCACTGTGAAGAAACATGTTTAACAATTCTAATATTCATAAGAGGTACAGGGGCAGTGGGCATAATCGCCAGTAGTGACTATCAATCCACCAGAAACTTGTGGGAAGACTCAGCTTCAAGGATAGAATGCTGATGAGTGGACTGGGATCAGCTGTGCTCTCTCTAAGTTGAACAGCACCTGAAATGACATCCAGGAGAGATACAGGGAGAAAACTCACAGACCTAACAACCCCATTCCTATAGATATAACTTACTATTTGAGACGTGGTGCCTTTAATATATAATACAAAAGACAGTGAGAGTAATTAGCAAATTCTACAAATAGTCAGTGACTAAAGCTGCTTTAAAACTATAGAAGAAGTGAGAAATAATAAAGAAGCCTCTAGGCGGGTTTATTTGAGTGGTGCATTGTTCAGAATCAGAATCAGAATAAGCTTTATTATCATTGCACAGAGATACAACGAGAACATGTACGTACAGTTGTCCAAAAGATGGACATAGTGCACAAAGCTGCTGCTAATTAGCACGGCCCTCTTATTCTTCCTCAGAATAATATTTTTGCGTAGATGAGAAAAGGGAAGAAAACATGAGGAGAGACAGTATAAAATAAGATCTCTCACACTTTGTCCTAGATAGGGCATGATTTGAGGCATCAAAAAAACCTACCACAGCATATAGCACATAAATAGACATGATACATAAACATATAGACCGGTGAAGACACTGAATTTTTAAGGGGGGTCATAGCATAGTCCAGGGCCCCCCTTCTCAGCCATTGTCCAGATAAGAGGTGTTATTTATCATCAGCTCAGTTGAGGTTCTGTCACATGTCCACGGCCTTGGGGAAGGGAGGGGTGAAGAGACAGACAAATTGTCTCTGTTTTTCCCAAACACGCCAGGAGGAGTTGAGATAAATCTGCTGTCAAGGCCACAGTTTGAGTCAGGCAGAACTCGTAAACGGCCATTTCTGCCTTTTAAAGTCTCGCTGGTACATTTCTCTGATGGTGACTCCAAACAGCCGAATTGATTCCTTACGCTGAAAGTCGAGCTCACAGCTTTCTCCAAGATTATTCCCAACCATTCATGGGTGCTGCCAGAAAGTCCTGATAACAGCTGCTCCAGCTCTCTCTCTGCCGCAGTTCCACATAATTCAGTCTGAGTGCTGCCAAGCTTCGACACATCCACATGAATTTGTAGACAATCCTGATTTCACCAACCCAAACAGAAGAATCTATTTGTCATCATGAATCCAATCTGTTTCCATCGGGGTAAGAGGGTCCTCCTTACCCTGACTACTGTCGGGAGAAGTTGATCAATTTTGTTGAGAGACCAGCTGATCAAATCCTTCGAATTAAGAAGATATGCAGGGGAAAAAAGAGACTCTTTAAGGGTTCACGAGACAAGAGAGCAAAGCAGGGAACCAGGGGGGACGGAGCACAGGAGGACACGCCTGCTTCCACTGGAGCACAGAGAGCGAGAAAAAAGTTGTATTTGATGGTACATACTTCAGCATTTTCAATCAACAATCAATTAAAAATTAATTTATAGAGCCTTTTCCAACAGCCAAAATGTGCACAAAGTGCTGCACAATACAATAGTTAAAAACAAACAATAAAAAAAAATAAAAATAAAAACTATACAAAAATGCCAGAAAGCAACTAGGTATTGAAAGCCTGCCTAAATAAAAAGTTTTTAAGATTAGATTTAAAAAGGCCCAGATCAGTGATGGAGTGTATGTCCTGTGGTAGTTGGTTCCAAAGTCTGGGAGCAGCAATCAAAAAGGCACGGTCACCCCAACCCCATAAAAGAGAAGCCACTAGACTGGTTTCAGTGGTGCATTGTTACACTGTAAAACTGTAACTGATGATACATACTTTAGGATTTTATTAATGACTCGAAGAGGCAGCAAAATTTACATTTTAGTTAAATTGTCCTTGTTGAAAATATAAATGTTCATTAATTTATACAAAGCTGCCATTTTCTACTTGTTACTTCAAATGACAAATATCCGTTCATAGTATGTTTTTTTTTTCCTTTTTCTTTTGGCTGCTCTTTTCTTCAGGGGTCGCCACAGCAAACAAGCTCGCATGAAGTCTTGGCAATTGTTTTTACACTGGATGCTCTTCCTGATGCAACCACAGATCACCGAGCTACCACAGCCGTCTGTGTGGAGCGGGGAGCTGACATCTAGGACATGTGGGGGAGCAGATGGTGGGGATTAAGGGTCTTGCTCAAGGGTCCAGAGTGGGCAAATGAGGGTGGAGGCAGGTGTGGGTTTTTCACCTTTCCCAGCCACATTTTTTATGTTGGTCCAGGGAGTTGAACCGGCAACCTTCCAATCACAGGCCCACCTTCTGTAGCCTCTGTACCACCACTTCCCCAGTTCATAATATAATGTACAATAATAAAAAAGATAGATAGAATTTCAAAACTGGCATGTAATTATGTAATTTTACAAGCCTAATTCTTACAGAACCTACACTGAGTATTCCTGGAAAATGAGTCTTAACAAAAATGGAAATGGCATGCGAGTTATTCTTTCATGTTTCATAGCTTGCAATCTGACCTTTTGGATTATGATTCTTTGTTCTGTAGCACCACCACCTGGCCAAACTATTCAACATTTCATTCAGTTAAAAACAACCTCATCAGGTTTTAGAATAGATGATACAAATTTATTGGTGTACTGTAATCTGTAAAGAAGCATTGAAAAGTTGTTTTCTTTTCAATTGAAGTTGAAATAACAACATGTGGCTCTCGTTGAAATGTACATACAAAGATGCTAAGTAAAAGCGAACATGAGTGAAGTTTTACTCAATACTTATTTACTGTATATGTGTTCATTCAGTGAGTTTAGTTAAGTGGCACTCTTTGGGAGTGGTGGCGCAGAGGTTAGAGAAGGTGGGCCTGTGATCAGAAGATCGTCGGTCCAACTCCCAGTACTGACATAAAAAATGTGGGTGGGATAGGTGAAGTACCCACACCTGCCTCCACCCTCATTTGCTCCACTCTGGGCCCTTAACCCCCACCATCTGCTGGCGACCCCCGAAGAAGAGAGCAGCTGAACTAAATAAAAGTTAAGCGGTACTCTTTCACACCCTTTAAGCAGCTGGTATTTTAACTAACAAATTTTCAACTTTATACATTTTTCTGCAACCAGAAAGCTTTTTTGTTGTAATGTCTGAGCCATAAATGAGCACAATTGTTTCTTATTTGGTTTTATTTATTGAGTTGCAGTGACTCAATAACTCCTTTAATAGATTTTAGCTACTGCATAATGTCATATCTTTGAGGTTATTGTGAACCACAAATCCTTCAGAAACACATTACTATATTCCAGAATCTGATATGAATGTTGGAGGATTGGTATTATCTTGTGTTTTGACAAAAACAAGATTATTAAGGTTCCTCCAAATGTAATTAACCAAGTTGAGCGCAGGACAAACTTTGTGGCCTCTGGCTCTGGGACTGCTCTGGTTCTGAAAGGCTTAAAAACTCGGTCCCACTGTGTGAGGATAGCATGCCTGGCCCCTGCCCACTGTCCAGGCCCCATGAGACGAAACTGGTATGGTGTGCAGGGACCAAAGAAGACCTTTGCCCAGAGTACAGGATCACTCAGGAACAGATGCAGGAGATTGATTTTAACGCCCACCTATGATGAAAAGTTTATTGTGAAAATCTGTTTTTCTGACACAAGTAAAGTTGTAAAATTTTACATGAAGAGTGCTAACCTCCTTGGCCATGAAATCCAGATATGAGATGTAATCCACCTGTAGAGCAGCCTGTTGTGGGCAGGGGTATCTGAAAAACAGTCAAAAAAAGCATTTGTATTAAATAAAAATTCATCTTCAGCTTGGTGATGATATCTACCTCTGCATGTTTGACCTCCTGTCAGACTTAATGACTTCCAGCATTTTCTCCTGGGATGGAAGGTGGCTCAAACCTGAAAAATACAACACTCCAGCTGAAACTATGGATTCATTCACCAGCATGTATGTGAGTGTGTGTAGAATATTTACCTGTAAACACCTTAACAGCCCAGCGTGCCTGCATCTCTACTATGGGCATTATTGGTCCATTGGCTTGTAAAAGACCCATGATGGCTAGTGTGGGATGTTGCAAAGATGGAGGAAACATTTTTCTAAAATATGAAGAAAAGAAAAAAAAACATTTTCCAATTGCCATTGATTAACTGACAAAAAAAATTGATAAGGAAAATATTAAAAATTGAAAATGCTGGAGTAAGATTTGATCCAGTGACCTTCTCGTGCAGCCCCCTTTATCACCAGCTGTATAATTTATTTTACTTGTTCTTGACCTAATAGTTCAAACTTTAACTTTGAACAAAACTATTTGAAAGGACTGAACATTTTTTTTTAAGTGGGGCCCTGTGGAAAGATTATGAACAAGTAATATCTTACCTGTAGTAGATTGTTCTTTGTATGACTTCTATTTGAAGAACTAGAGACATAGACTGGATATGAATCTGTTCATGATTCAACAGGTTCCAACAGCACCAAGACCAAACTGGATTATCTCATCAAAGGTCGTCTCATCTCATAAATGTCAATGGCTCATGTAAACGCCATTTTATAAAAGGACTGCTTGGCTCTCAGTTTTGCATTACACAGTTATTGTGGCTGTTGTGTACGGAGGATTTAAATTAGACTTGTTCTTACTCAAGGAGACAAGCTTTCAGTTTTTCTGACGTTTGTCTTTTATGATTATGAGGCCCTGATCCTTAATGGCTGGGGAAATAAAAAATGTACACTGAACAAATGCTCAGAACTCAGGAGGTTTACCCTCTTGTTGCCTTCAATTATATACCCTTAATCTTCTCGCCTCTTAATCATAAAACACAATCATAAATAAATCTGAAAGTGTGAAGAAGAACAGGCCTAATTTGAGCATAATAAAATGTGGTACAGAGAATCAATCTTTCTGTATGAGGACACAGGCTCTCGTGCAGTTTAAATATCAGACAGTTTTAAAGTCTGCCCACCATGAACCAACTTACTTGAACAAAACCAGTTTACCACTCGACCCATCAGTCACAGACAAGGGCAGGAATGGGAAGCTTGCATTGTAACCTGTGCAAAATATGACAGCATCGATTGTTTCTTCGATGGTGCCATCTTCAAAAACAACTCCTGATTTCTTGAACTCTTTGATGTTGGGCTTAATGACCAGAGCCCCCTGAAGAATTCGGCCAGGAAGGTCATCATTAATCAAAGGCGTTCTTTGCAAAGCTCTGAGAAAAAGAGGAAATGAGTGAAGATAATGAAATTTTGTGTAGTTCAACCATATTTGCATTTTTTGTTGTGATGCTACCATATTAAAACTGATAACTGGTATTACAACCGTACAGACCTTTGCACAAAATAATAGTGATGTAACTCTGTATGCTGCAGAGGGATTTTTAGATTTGATCTTATTGTTCTTATTTTTAAATCTCTATTTTAGTGGATGTGAATATTGCATGCATGCAGAAACACTAACAATCACACTATCAGCATTGTGTTCAGGGAATAAACTTTTAGAAAACGCTTATATGGAAAAAAAAAGTTTGCATCTCAACCCACAGAGCAAATTTGTTTGCTACAGTATTTAATTTTACTTTTCAAAATTTCTTTAAACTTTGTTTGTGATTGAAATTTGTTTTGCATACATTATCCAAAAACAGAAATTGAGAGGTGGTTTCAAATGTTTGCACCCAAAAATCTGTAATAATATAACCAGGCTTTAAAAATCCATAAGAATAAGTTCATTCAACCTTTATTTATACAGGTTAGTCTCATTCAGCCTCGAGGACTCATTTACAAGAGAGACCTGTAGTGAATTTCAGCAAACACTAACTGAAAATAAATAGATTTGTCCACATTTTTGAGTGATGTTTTTGGCTTATCACTCTTCTTCAGACTAAAATCTACAAAATCTCCATCTTTCAACTCCCCTATTTAAGGACAAAGCTAAGTATGTAAAGATTGTGACTGTTCACAAACAGTTTTGTACTCTAAAGGTAATGTCTAAAAAGTCCAGCAAGAAAATAAAAGATTTACATGAAAGTATCCTGATACATGCTCAATAATCCAGGTAGAAAAATCCAAGAAAGTTCAATCTGGTCCTCTGGACATTCAAAAAACAAGAAAACAAAACAAAAAAAACAACAAAACAAAACAAAAAAAATGTAGAAACGTTTCGTCTCTCATCCGAGAGACTTCCTTAGTGACTTAACCACTTATGAACCTCTGAAAAGAGATCCAGGAAGTGGTTACAAAAAGAAGTTAATAGATTGCCTGGAAAATTTGGAGCAGGACAAGGCTATTGACTGTATTCTGTACCACAGACTGTACCCAGGGGAGGCCACACCTAGTCTGTATGGTTTACCTAAAATCCACAAACAAGGTGTACCTTTAAGACCTATTGTTAGCATGATTAACTCTGTCACTTACAATGTTTCCAAATATCTGGCGTCTGTACTCATCCCTTTAGTTGGCAGCTCAGAACACCACATACAGAACACCATGGACTTTGTGGATAAGGTGAGGGATGTCATCATGGAGACTGATGAAACAATGGTCTCTTTTGATGTCACATCACTCTTTACGTGCATTCCTGTTGATGATGCAGTAGAGGTGGTCAGTTTAAGATTAAAATCAGACACCACTCTGAGCAGCAGGACCACACTTTCCACAGAACAACTGTGTCAACTCTTGAAACTGTGCCTGCAGTCAACCTACTTCACATATGGGGAGCAATATTATAGGCAGAAACATGGGTGTGCTATGGGGTCTCCAGTTTCTCCTATTGTTGCCAACCTGTACATGGAGGAGGTAGAAAAGAGAGCCTTGACGTCATTTTCAGGGACACCACCAAGTCATTGGTTCAGGTATGTTGACGACACCTGGGTTAAAATTAAATCTCAGGAAGTCCAACATTTTACTGACCACATCAACTCTGTGGATAAATACATCAAGTTCACACGAGAAGATCTAAAAAATGGCAAGTTGGCTTTCTTGGACTGTGAGGTCTCAGTCTCTGATAGAGGACATTTGCAAACCGAGGTGTACCGCAAACCCACCCACACAGACCAGTATTTGCAGTTTGACTCCCATCACCCTTTGGAGCACAAGTTAGGAGTCATCAGGACTCTGTACCACAGAGCAGACAGCGTCCCCACTAACTCGGGAGCCAGGCAGAAGGAGAAATCCCACACAAGACAGGCTCTAGAGCAATGTGGATATCCTAACTGGGCCTTCCTGAAAGCAGAGAAGAAACCCAAACAGGACTCCAGTCAGCCAACAGGTGAAAAGGAGGAACCCAGACCTAGACCAGTGGTCATTCCATATGTTGAGGGAGTATCAGAGAAACTGAGACGTTTATTTTCTAAACACAACGTCCCAGTGGCTTTTAAACCCCAAAATACATTATGGCAAAGACTGGTTCATCCCAAAGATCCAGTCCCCCGGCACAAACAGAGTAATATTGTGAATGTTGTTCAGTGTCAGGAGGGCTGTGATCAGTCTTACATCGGGGAAACTAAACAGCCACTGACCAAAAGGATGGCCCAGCACAGAAGATCAACATCATCAGGCCAGGATTCTGCGGTCTACACCCATCTCCAGGTCAGCGGTCACTCTTTCAGGGATGAAGATGTGCACATCCTGGACAGAGAGGAACAATGGTTTGAGAGAGGAGTAACGGAGGCCATCTTTGTGAAAAGAAACCGTCCATCGTTAAACAGGGGTGGAGGCCTCCGGGTTCAACTGTCCCCCTCTTACAATGCTGTGATTGCTAGTATCACTCAACCCTCTGTGAATAGTAAACAGCCATCAGTGTGCTAATGATCCATTGTTAGGCTGATGGTCCTTCTTGATCATGTGATCAGCTGGTTTTGGTTGTCAGCAACAAAACTGGTTGATCCACTCTGAGAAGGTGCTATTTAAGAGACTGAGCTGAATACAGCACCTCAGACTGAGGAAGTCTCTCGGATGAGACGAAACGTTTCTACTTTTTTTTGTTGTTGTTTTTTTTCTTGTTTTTTGAATGTCCAGAGGACCAGATTGAACTTTTTTGGATTTACATGAAAGCTTTTGTTAGTTTGAGAATTAATATGTTTCTTTTCAAAAGAAAAAAACAAAAAGTTATAATTGTCAAACTAGTACACCTCACCTGTGTTGGGGTTTCAGGCCGTACAGTCTGTGGTCATATTTATTGTTTAGTGCTCTCTCAACCACCCAGCTGACTAAAGTCTTGGGGAGCAGCTGCACTAAGAGATTGTTGAACCTGCTGATAGCTTCTATGTCCAGAGGAAGGCCATTATGAGCCATCCTGCCAATCACCCAGGCCCCCTGGCGTGTACTGAGAAAAGTCTGGCAGGGAGAAGTATGGTTGTAAATACACGAAAATAGTAAAAACTGAGTCTTTTGAACTGCCTTTTGACACACAAATAATACTTCAATATAATGCAAAAAATAATTATAAACAATTTCTGCTGCTTTCCTGTTTTTACCTTCTTTGCACATCTGCTAATCTCTGATGCAACATCTCCACCAGAGCTACCAATGCCAACAACCACCACCTTCTTTCCCCTGTAGGCATCAGCATCTTTATATTCCCAGCTGTGAACAAGCTGTCCAGAAAATGCCTTGTGTCCTGCAGGAATGGTACAACATCTCAGAATAAGAATTTTATTCAGGAGCCTTTTGATAATCGGTAAAACAATGATACTGCATCCATTGCATTACCTTGAAAGTCAGTCAGTGGTAAGGCTGGATGGGTGTAATGTCCTGAACACACCATAACTGCATCAAAAATGTGCCTCTCTTCATCTCCATTCTTACTCACAGTTGCCACTTCCCATTGGCCAGACAGAGAGAAGTCTGGGCTTTGCTGAACATTTGTCACTGTGGTCTGCATGTCCACACCAGCATTCACACAAACATACACATAATTTTAAAGATGTGTTTTTATGGAGAAGATAGAAGTGATGCAACAGCAATGACCTGGAAGTGAATGTATCTGAGGAGGTGAAAATGCTCAGCATAATGCCTGAAGTACTGCAGCAGCTGCGAGTTGTGCATGTAGTTTGGATAGTCATCCGGCATGGGGTAGTCACTGAAGCACATCATTTCCTTGGAGGTATTAGCCACCAGAGAGCGATAGATACTGGATCGCCCTGGTGCAGGTGACTCCTGAACACAGAAAAACCATGACTCATGAATTACTGTGCACAAGCAACATACCTTTTGTTTAAATTACACAAGATCACATTTACCTTAAAGTTCCATAAGCCGCCAATGTCATCACCACTTTCAAAGCAGACAGGCTCCAAGTTTTCATCAATACAGATTTTCATGCAGGCCAAACCGGAACTGCCTGCTCCAACAATTGCCACACGCCGAACCATGACTGAGCACTTTTATAATAGTCAGAAATGTTTAATGCATGAAATCAAAACCAGGAAATTGGCTGCAAAATTTTACACAACTTCACATTTCATTGACGTTTTTAAAATGTACCTGTCAGTATACATGTCAATCAGCTGTTCTTACCTTTGCTTGTAAACTGGTTAAAAGTTCTGTGCCAAAGCAGTCAGAGATTAGACGGCACGTGAGCGTGCACAGACTGAGCTGTTTGTTTTTACGCAACGAGTTAAACAGTACTGCCAAAGAACTTTAACCCTGTTTAGTGGAGTGGGACACTCCTTGCGCAACAGAAGAATTGAATCATTAATCTGAAGTTAAAAAAAGAGAAGAGGCATGGGAATATTTTGTTGAAACTGGAAATAAAAATATATTAACAAAGGATTTAGTCTCTAAATATTTATATCGTTGTCTCCTTGATTTCCTTCGTACTGTTTAAAGATAAAGTGATCAAAGACATTTTGTAAATCACGCTATACCAAAGTCTTGATAAAACTGGCATTCAGTTTTAGAAAAGTTCTTCTAAACCAAGATGATACAACAGTCCATATAATGTTCAACTTTTGCAGCAACCAAATAATTCTATCATTGTGTTTTTATTCAATGTTTGATTTATGTTTTGGGTTTTATTTTCGTGTTTGTTTCGGGTTTTGTATTTTGTGTGTGTGTGTTCCTCCTTTGGGTATGATGTTTTACTTTCTGTTTGGGATTCTATTTTTATTTTTTACATTTTATTTGGAGAAGCAAATGATACAAGACAAGTCTATTCTGTATACAAATCTATTTCCACCTCACAGTTGTGAGTGTGGGACTAACATTTGTTAATCCAGTTTTTACTTTTTTTTTAGAATATGAGAAAAAAAAAAGGAAAAAGAAGATAATATTAGTAATAATAATCAAACAAATATAACACATAAGTGGGGGGGGGGGGGGGGGGGGGGGTGTGAGAGAGAGCCTACTCCAATTCTTCTTATGTTTGGAGAAAACACCATGAAGCGAGTAAGTTTGCCAAAATCATAAACATGGATAGATTATGTAACATGATGGTATTGTCTTGTTACCGACATATTTAATTCACAGGGATTACTGGTTTTACATAATTTGTCCATTTAGACCAGATCCTGAAAATAGATTTCCTTTGACCTTTAACAGAGAATGACAACATCTCAATAATGTAAATGTCCTTTACAATTTTTAACCATTCAGCAATTGTAGGTGCTTCAGGGTTTAACCATTTTCTAGTGAAAGTCTTCTTGCTGCCAGAAGTATTAACAACAGTTTTTTATCCTTCAGAGTCCAATTATCAAATGAAATGTCTTTTAAGTCAAGGTTTCACATTTACAGGGGATCTTCACAGTAAAGATGTTATTTAAGTGATCACATAACTGATCCCAGAAAGGTTTAATCACTGGACAACCCCAGAAGATATAGCAGTGATTTGCTCCATTTGTCCCACAGTCTCCAACAGGTGTCTCCACTGCCCTGATGTTTTTTCTGAGCTGGAAGTAGCGAACAGTGTTTCTCCAACAGAATTATTTCCATGTATTGGAGCTCGAGGCCATCCAGGGTAATTTGTTGATCCTTTCCCAGCTTTCAGATGTGATACTTAAATTTTCTTTTATTATCCACTTATTTCTGAGATAGTCTGTGTCACCTTGTTTAGATGATAGAATACTATTATATAGTTTAGAAACAAGTTTTGTGCATGATTCTGATCTCAACAAAGACAGAAACACATTAAAAAAATCCTAATTCGGCTGAATCGCAATTTTCTCGTATATTTTCATTAAAATATGCCCTAACCTGCAAATATCTGTAAAAGTCAACCTTTTCCAGCCCGTTAGACCTCTGAAGTTCCTCAAAACTCTGAAACTGCCCATTCTGGGTAAATGTATGGTTAATCCTTTTGGGACCCATCCTTTAAATCTCCCATCATTCTTGTTTGGTTTAAAAGCTGAATCAAAGGCACACTATCTGAGTATTTTAATCTGATTATCTATTTTACAAGTTTCAACTATCTTCTTCCAAGAGTCCAACATTGTGTGTAGCATGAAGTCATGTGGTATCATCAGGTCCTCTTGTAAATCTTTATCCATTAACAATGATATTAAAGGTATTCCTTCAACTGTGGCACCTTCTATATTTTTCCATCCTGTATCATAAGATGGAGAGCATAAACAGATCACTGGTCTTAACTGAGGTGCAAGGTAATACTCCTGTAAATTGGGAAGACCCAATTCACCTTTCTCCTTATTTAACTGTAGCGTTTTGTATCTCACTCTTGCCTTTTCCCCCTGCCAAATATATTGCGATATTAATCTGTCCCATTCTACAAAACGCCTTTCTGGTATTTGAGTAGGTAAACATTGAAATAAATACAGGAATTGAGGAAGAATGTTCATCCTGACTGACTCTATTCTGGAATATAAATTTGAAAAAGGGATCAAGTTCTGGGCAGCACGGTGGTAGAGCTGCTGCCTCTCAGCTAGCAGGTCCCCGGTTCAAACCCCAGTCCAGGGGCCTTTCTGGGTGGAGTTTGCATGTTCTCTCCGTGCATGCGTGGGTTTTCTCCGGGTGCTCCGGTTTCCTCCCACAGACCAAAAACATGCATGTTAGGCTGATTAGTAACTATAAAATTGTACCTAGGTGTGAGTGAGAGATTGAATGGTTGTTTGTCTCTACGTGGCCCTGTGATGGACTTGCGAGCTGTCCAGGGTGTACCCCGCCCCTCGCACAGTGATTGCTGGACATGGGCTCTGACCCAAAATGGAAGAAGCGGGTAAAAGATGATGGATCAAGTTCCATCTCTGTACGTCTGATTTCAACTTTGAGATAAGGGTTCCATAGTTGGCAGTGGTGGAGAAAGTACTCAAACACTGTACTTAAGTAAAAGTACAAATAAACACAAAAATGTACTCTAGTAAAAGTGGAAGTACCACATTAACGTTTTTACTTAAGTAAAAGTAAATAAGTACTGGCTTTTAAAAATACTTAAAGTATTAAAATTAAAAGTACTTGATGAATGTACTTTGTATTACCTAATGCAATGGTCTACAATATCATTAAATGTACCTACCATATGTATATTTTCTGTAATACATTAATAGTATTGTGTCATTTTAGTAAACAATGTTACAGTTAATACATGTTTTTATTGTGTTTACTCTGTGACACAGTTCATTCTTGGACTTCTGATTCTGTGCGTCAGAATTTCAGGAATGACCTGCAGAGTTAAATGCCATTAATCAAAATAAGAAAGAGGAATGATTTTACCTTTGAAGGTTTTTATTTAACACAAAGCAAAACCAGTGTGTCATTTTAACTGCAGTAAACACATTTAAGTAAAAGTTGTCTGCCTGAAAAAAGAGCATTAGACACAACTAACAAAGGAACAGACACTGATCATTTCAACTCCAGTTTGTCATCAACTCTAGTTAAAACACTCTCTATTCAACCTTGTAATGGGTCAATAGTGAACAATACTGGTATGTATGAGTGTAATCAGCTTTTCAAAACATGAAGTCTGATGGACCAGAGGTTAAGGCTGTTGCCTAACAGCAAGAAGGCTGCAGGTTTGCAACCTGGCTGGAGACTGGGGTCTGGTTGGATGACCTGTTAGCTCATCAGTTCTTTCAGAATTAAACCCTATTTCATAAAGCTGAGGTTGTTGTGTTCTCTACATAAGTATTAATTGTTCATACCCTTTAAACAGAACCCAACTTAAAGAAATCTGAACTATCATTTCAAGTTTCAAACTACTAAAACTTATATTAAACCCGAAATGCATTTTGTGCTGCATAATGAAGTAAGTCATGTTTGAAAAATAAAATGAATATAAAAAAGAGAGAACAATTCAGTAATCGGTATTTCTCTTTTTGTGTATATTGTATGAGTGAAATGTTTTCATTTAATGTGATTTAAAAGTTATTCAGCTGAGAAAATGGTTTCTCATACCTGCAAACATTAAAAATACTCTATTATTAAACAGCATGACTTTATGTGTGTAAAAAGAAGGTAAAATACAGGTATTTACAATATAGGGCAGGCAGCATATTTACGATTAGAAAATAATTCACTAAATTTTAGCAGCACAAAAATGCACCTTTACGACTGCGGTTGTTGCACTTTACCCATAATTCTTACTTTCATTTACCAAGTTTAATAAGGGTCTGATCTTCACATATTTTTTTTTAACATTTGTTTTAATATTCAATAAACGTTTTTATGTCACTCATAATGTTGTAGCCCTAGTTACAGTACTTTATGAACAATTATTTCAGTGCAGGTCAAGCTGATGTAGTTGTTGCTAGTGTTGTATTTAACTGTAAAATGAACAGTTTCAAATCACAGGGTTGCTACAGATCTGGGGAAAAGTTAAATTTTTCTCTGTTGTTCAGAAAGATTAAGAACGGACAGTTTTAGTTTTTTAAAACAGTTTAAAGATGAAATTTGGACATTAGGATGGGGATGATGGTGGGGTTGCGAACATGAACATAGTAGAGTGCAGTTCCTCCAACCATGACAGTCAAACTCAACTTGATCAGACGGCCTGTAGTTGAACTCTCGCCTACCTCCAGCTAGAGAAGACAAACAAAAAAATTATAGTTAGAATGTTTTTAGAACTAATACACTGACAAACACTGCTGCACATTTAACATTAATAATATTACTCTAGAAAAGGCTTCCAAACTAAATAATAAAATAATAAAAACCAATTTCATACTTTTCTGGTTTTTAGGGGCTGGTACATGCGGTCTAACTGGGTGAAGATTGCCTTTCGGGCCCCAGTCCATTTCCCTGGTCCCATTAAGCGGTACTGGTAAGCAGTGACAGGCCCCCAAAAAACCCTCTTGAACAGTGGGAAGTCTGTGAAGAGGAGCCAGAGGAGGCTGGGTCGTACTCCAATATCCTTGGCTAAATCATCCATGTACTCAACAAAGCCCACTTGAAGGGGAGTCAGCCTTGACACCACGTAGCTGTAGCT